TATTGAGTGCAGACATCTTTGATTCTCACAAAAACTATGAGATAAAACTTCATGCTCACTGATAGCACTGCAGCATTTTAGGTGGAAGAAAGAGTCCTTAAACCAGCACTGTCAAATTCCAAGGCTCATGTTCCTCCCCACAATGAGATAATAATGGATATTATATATGAGGAGTTATTAGGCATCAGATATCTTTCTAGACACTTAACAAATTTCCAAAACTTACAATTCTTTTTTTCCCCTCAGCCACAATCTCTCTGTGGATGATCATGCATATTTTCAACTCCAAAGTTATAAATTATCAGCTCATATATGTTCTCCAAGCTTACATCCAACTGTTCACTCAAGATTTCATCTTGGATATAAYTGGCTTTTCAAATTTAACATATTCAAAATGAAACTTACCATTACATATCTCCAACTGCTTCTTCTGTTGCTTTTCCAACATCGTAAAAGGCATTACTAGTCACTAAGTTCCTCCATCTAAAAACCCAGTAATTATTGGATTCTTTCTTTTCCCCAGTCTCCATATTCAATCTGCCAACCAGCTCTACCTCCAAAATATAATTCAAATCTGTTAATRTCTCTCTCTTTTGCTACCACTAGGGACAAGCCACCATCATAAATCTTACTTAGATTACTTCAAATGTTTCCTAACTGGTCCCTTTGATTCCACTCTTGCTTCCCCTCCAATCTAATCTTTACCCTAGCATCCCTAATTAATTGTATCAAAATGAACTTACACATTTGAATAGAATCTATACCCTAAATTAACTGTATCAAAATGAACTTACCCATCKGTATAAAATCTATGTAAAGTGTTTCAATGATGATTCAGTTCTCTTAAAATAAAATGTAAGCCCTTTAGCATAATTTAACTCACAAGCCCTAAATGACAAGAGTTCTTACCTGCTTTCACACCTCTCTTTCCCACTATATTCTAGACATGGTATAGGGCTCCTTCCTTCAACCAGAGCTTTTGCAATTGTTATTCCTTTTACCTAGAATTCTTTTCTCAATTCTTCACATATCTCCCCATTCTTCCTATTAATTTTTAGCTTAAAATATCACCTCCCCAGCTTCCCTCATTGACAATTTATCTCAAGGAGGTTCCCCACCCTGGTATTCTCATCAGCACTTTATTTCCTTCATAATCTACAAATGGTTTGCCTACTTATCACCYCTCTCTCCTATTGAATGAATACAAACTCTTTGAAAGTAGGACCACATCTGTCTTGATTATAGCTGTATTCCCAAACCTGGACTAGTGTCTGGCATATAGTAGATATTCAATAAATAACTGATAAATAAAGAAATGAAAGTAGGGTTAATCCCCACTGTTTACTTGAAGAAACAAAGGTTCACAAACCTGAGAAGTGGCAGAGTCAAGAATTTGTACCTAAATCCAACTGGCTCCAAAGTTGTTTCTCAATAGGACATTTTTCAAAATTGAAAGAAAAATGAGGTTTCTTCCATTATGAAAGTAAGAAAAAAGTTCTTATGTATTACCTATGTTATTTCTGAAAACTAGCCCTCTGTTAAAAATAAGAAAGAGGCACTCTGGGCAATGATAACAATTTCATACAATACTTACAATAAGGCCATTTTCATTTCTCCATGATGAGTCCAGATAGTGATCTTGTAAAAGTGATGCTTTATTTTCATCATTTCTGTAATAATTAAGAAATGGCTATAAGAGATAAGTATTGGTTAATGCCTATAGCTCATACTCAGGGACTCTGGTGTAGGTTTCTTTCTCCCCTTAAAAAGATTTAATATAGCAAAAATGCCTACTGTACCTCCTTGGCCTATAAGGAAAAAAATACTGCCAGGCAACAACCACAATATACTCTGTGGCCTTGAAGTACCACTTCAGTTTTGACTCATGTACCCATATGTGTAAAAGAACTYAACTTTGTAATTAAACCTTTTAACTATATCTAAACCATAAAAAACTTCCATCTATAGCATCAACCTCAAAATGAAGAAAAAAAAACAAAACTAGATGGAAAAATCAAAATAGGAATTACTAAATGAAGTTTTAATGACATCCCATACACTTTTCTTTTTTGTAATGGGGATTGTACCAAGAGATACCTAACCACGAGCTACATGCCCAGTCCTTTTTRTTTTCTAAGACAGGGTCTCACTAAATTGCTGATGCTGGCCTCAAACTTGCTATCCTCCTGCCTCAGAGTCCAAAGTCGATGGGATTACAGTAGTGTACCACCACACCTAGTTCTACTCATATAATTTTTTWAAATTAATTTGGGTTATTTGGAGGACTTCTATGTCCATCAGGGAATAAAACTTTATTAATTTTCTCACTCCTTTCATTGTACTAACAAGTTACAAAGTACACTACATAAGTAAAAAGGCTGGCTCATTAAGTTTTCAGGACCACAAACTGTGATATAATTAAATTTAATATTTTGCTTTTGTACACTTGAAGTTACAAGTTTTCTAGTAATGACTTTTCCCTGGCCAAACTTTTCCCCAGGTTTAAATTCAAGGACCAACTCTGATCTGGAAGAGGCTAAATAAAGGATTCTGTCTCTTGTATCAGCAAAAGGAAATCTTTGCTCAAATAACTAGGTCTACAAAGTGTGTGGGAGTTGGGACTATTATCATTTCAAGTTCACTGCACAAATCTCTTCACATAGTACTCTCTAATAGGAAGGATTAGCAATATCTCCGCTCTGGTGTATGCATATGAACACTGCCCAAATCTCCATACATACCACAAATCAACATGTGTAAGTCTAAAATCACTTTTTCTTCCAAATCTGTTACCCTTCCATTGTTCTTTATCCCAGTTAACTGCACCATCACTCCCTGGTTATCCAAACCAAAAGTCTGAATCTGCCGTTCTTTTTTCACAATCCTTATTCAGTCTGCTTGACAATTCTATTGTTTCTCCCTTTTCCAAACCTAGTCTTTCCACTGTATTCATACTTAGTTTGAGATCTCATAGTTTCAGACCTTACAGTTTTCCTGCCTATGTATAAGAGATAAAGCCGACAAGCTATTCATCTTTTCTTCACTTTTTTTCCATCTGTCACTATAAAACGTTTATTGTCTATCTTATCCAACAGGAATATTAGTTCTGTATGAGGAGGGACTTGGTTTTTACAACAGCTATATACCTAGGCCTGGMGTGTACATGGTGCCCAATTGACACTTGATTGAATGAACAAAGTAGGTGGGTCACAAATCACACAGGTCTCTASTAGGGAACTGAAGATTCATCACAAAACCAATTGGAGACTGAAGGGAATAATATTCACATTTGGTAAGAAAAACTATCTTTAGTAAAGAATAAAGGGGGTCAAGGAGACAAAGACCAGTAAAGAAATGATTATAAAAATACCAAAAAAAAAAAAAAAAAGGTGGCAGCAACTTATACCTAAGGAACAAACAGTGTGACCAGAAGTAAATACATTTGAAAGGATATGTAAACAGAATGAACAGTTCCTTAACAACTAATAGAATGGGAAAGTAGAAAGAGTTAAAGTTTTAGATCTGTGTCTTATATGACYGGATGGATGGCTGCCAGTGCCACTTAGTAAACTAGGGAACATCAAAGAGGCAGGTCTGGTGGAGAAAGTTTGTAAGTTGAGATTTAAGTACTTGTGGGACATCTAAGTGCTGACAGATTCAGAGAGTTGAGTAAATTACTCTGAAGCTCAGGAGAAAGATTTGGGTTAGTGACAGATTTGGGAGATATTAGCATGTATTAGGTTCAAGTTAGGGAACTTTCATGGAAGAATACTGGTAAAATTTCATATGGAGCATCTAACAAAAATTACGTTTTGAGAGATGGTATCACCAGTGACTATGAAGAAGCAGAAGACCTATGACAAATCCCTTTTTAATATTGTCATTTAAAGAACAAGCAGAAGAAAAGGAAGACAAGAAAGAACGATAAGAACAGAAGGAAAACTAAAATGCCATCTTTTAATTTTGGTACCTAGCACTCAGAAAATGGTTAAATGCAGTAKGCTTTAAATTTATCTTCAAGAGTTCCACAAATGCTATTATCAGCTGTAATTACACACTTCAGGGGGCACCAGTTATACTAATTCCAGATGACTKTAGCCCCATTTACAAGAACATAATGTCAATAAGGCTCCTTGGAATCACATAAAGCAATGAATCTGACCATCAGGAGCCAATAATCTTTATAGTTCTGCTTGTATGAGACAGATTGAAGAGCCACCACTACACCTAAGGCTGAAAAAACAGGAAGGAAGAAAACGAGAAAAGGGAGAAAAATTAAACACAATCAGAAAAATTAAGATAAAACCATGAAAGAGGCATAGAGCCAAAATCCTCAGATGATCTTCCAAGGCAAACTCATTTCCTTATGGACTGCAGATTAAGTATCCCTGTCCACTTATTTCATTGACTTGTTATGAAACATAAATTAAATCAAGCATTCAAAAGTACTTAAAATTTAAAGCCTACACAAATGTGAACAATTGTTATGAAAGACTTCCTACTTATCTGTATAGCTTCGGAATGCTCTGCATAAAGATCCATATTCCTCACATTTTTTATAGTTCTTTAGAATTCACACTTGCAACTCCCTATCTTAGTGCCTCATGGTCAAGGTGGCACTTTCTCCTTCTGAGCCCTGATATCAAGAGGAATCWCATGAAATTGCCACTTCACATGTCAAAAATGGCCTATGTAACGTAACTCGATGCAATTAGAACATAGATCTGATTCCTATTTCGTATAGACTTGAAAGGGACAGGGAAACTGAAGATGGTGTCTTGGGCCATTACTGAAAGGAGGCACATTTCTTACTTTGAAAGCAAAGACGCAAAGGAGGTTGTTTCAAACCATAGCATCCTGTTCTGCAGGAATAGGTACTAAAGTAAACCATCCCCGAGGATGAGGACTCATTTGATCTTCACAACGACCTTAGGAGGTATACATTATGACCCCCAACTTACACATAAGCAGTCTGAGGCTCAGACAAGTTAAGCGTCTTGCCCAAGGTCACAAGGCTACTTACTGGTAGATCCAGCCAAAGCAGAAGGAAAGTCCAGAACTGTCCAGAACTCTAAAATCTGACCCCTTTCCTTTAACTCATGCAACTACCCCTATGTAGAAAAAGGAACGAAACGACTCGTCCAAGGTCGMAAGGATAGCAAACGATGGAAGATGAGTCCCTGAGCTCAGGTCCGGTCTACTAGGTGCCCTCATTCTAGTTACTGACGGGCAGATTCTGAGGCAAAGAGAATGCAAGAAGGCATCTGAATTGTGGGAGCAAGTGCAATAAGCTAAGAGAAGACTGCTCCCTCACAGTATCTCTGTAAAAAAGTTAAAGAGCCATGCGGACACTTGAGTACCTGAGCTCAAGTACCACTCAGCTGGGCTCAGGGCAAGCTAGCGGGCGGAACCCGCGCTTCGACTTCCGGGACCAGAGGAGACTCTGGCCCAACACAYCATCTTCGGTTTCCCTGTCCCTTGCCAGACCCGCAGCCAAGGATCCACGGTCCTCCCCTCGCATCTGTAACGGCCCTATCCCGGGGAGACCCAGTCTCTGCGCCTCACCCTGACGGTGCCGCCGCCGCCGAAGCCACCACATCCCCTTCGATATCCACATCWGCCTCTTCCGCAGCCATGATGGCACCTGACCCCGTCAGTCTTCCCGAGAGATACCGCGAGAGGTGGCGCGCAGGGGGCGGGGCCGAGGTCGTTGCGTCACGGGGCGGAGTTGAAACCTCGCCCCAGCTAGGGAGGCGGGACTATGAGAGGAACTGGGTCTCCTAAGGCGGAGTTTTGGTTTTAAATGTTTTGACATGTAAAGAGATCTAGGAAAGTCACCCAGGCAGAACTTCTAGGAGCTTGGKTTCCAGGACAGATTCTTTGACGCCTCACTTCTCTCCTGTGTRCAATGGGGATACCAGCAAGTATCTTTCTAGTCAGATGAAAAAGTCAGATCGGACCTACTTTGTGAACTCCTCAGGAGGCAAAGGTGAAGGACACTTTTGGGCTGGTTAAATATCTCTCTGTCGCTCTCTTTCTGGAAAACTTGACTTGTGTGAAGTGCAGAAAGACTTACATTTCAAAATGCAACAAAAATATATTAATATAACTTATGGTTGTGTTTTTTATGGCGATCTTTACAATTTAAAAATCACTCTCATGACGGTTAATCCTTATAATAACCCAGTAAGGCAAGCAAGGCCATATCATCAGTTACATTTCACAGATGAAAAACTGAAGCTCAGAAAATTAACATGATTGCCCAAGGACAGCCCAAGGAATTCAGACCTTTTTGACTCTTCCCTAAGTGTTCACTGCATATAAATCACCATTGTTAGAAGCTCTTGAGGATAAWCAYCATTTCTGCCAAAAAWTGATGGCTTTTCAAGAACTTAGACATTGCCCTTACACATTCCTTTACTTACTTCACCAAGGATTCCCATTGACTCATTTGTCTTCATCCCCCCCACCCCGCCGGGTTATGAATACTTGAAGGATAAAAACTGTCTGATAGTCCTTAAACTACCAACATTCAGCATGGTATCAGGAGTGTAGTAGTGCTCAATAAATGTTGAAGAARTGAATGAGTCAGCAAAATGAGCTTATTTCCCACATCATTCTTAATTTGTCTCATCTCATTTTTGTTTGTTCTCAGAGCATAAGATGGGCTGAACCATGAATGTAATGGAAAGAAGATGGAGAGAAAGATTTTTAAAGATGAGAACCCAGTGCTCAAAAACTGAACACTGTGAGGGCCCATTCTCAGGCCACCTGAGGGTGCTCTTCTGTTATCAAGGGTCTTATCCAGTGACCAGCTCCCATGATAACACCATGTCTGCACAGAGTAGGTATTTTAAAGTGTCTGTTGAATTTAATTTAGAGCAGATTTAGGATTTGTTGTACATGGACAAGATAGTAAAAAAAAAAAAATGTAGAATAGAGCTGGGTGTAGTGCTGCATGCCTGTAATCGCAGCAGCTTGGGAAGCATTGCAAGTTCAAATCCAGCCTCAGCAACTTAGCAAGACCCTCCGTCTCTAAATAAAACATTCAAAAAGCCTGTAAATGTTGTTGCTCAGTGGTTCAGTGCCCCTAGGTTGAATCCCTGGTGGAAGGAGGAGAAGGAGGGAGAGGAGGAGGGGGAGGAGGAGGAGGAGGAGGAGGAAGAGGGATGTGCCTTTCACTGACATTTATACACCAGGTCTGGATGAGGACCCTGGCAACACTGGAAATTTGTTGTATCAAATTAGATACAACAAATTAGTTGTATCCTAGAGCATGATACACAATACTGTGTGAACAGTGTCACCTGAAGGCTTTGCTATCCAGGACCCTACAATGGTAGGCTTTGAAATATAGATGGAAAGAAGGAAAGCTGGGCGTAGAATTCAGATACACTCAATGCCTCCCTCGATGGAATCCTTAGTTAGGAAAAAATATCAATTAAAATCCATCCAGTACTGACATGGCTGTTACACTCACCACACCAGAACATTAAAACATTCTTYACAACTGTATCGTGTAAGTTCAATAAGTTAATAGAGACACAGAAAATACAAAAAGGATAAAATTCAACTTCTGGGGATGAAAACTACAATGTGTGAGATGAAAAATACACTATCAAGATTGATGACATGTTAGACATTGATGAAGAAAGGATCAGCAAACTTGGATACATAACAAAAAGAGACCCCCCCCCAAAAAAAAGGAACACACAGAAAAATAAAAAAAAWTAAAAATGAACAGAGAATCCATAAGGGAACTTCAAGCACCTCAGTATGTATGCAATAGGAGTCTCTAAAAAGCAGGGGTAAAGGATCATAGAAAATATCTGAAAAAATAATGCCTGAAAAGAATGTCCAAATTAGAAGAAAACTATAATCTCATAGATCCTAGAAACTAAAGAAACTCCAAGCAGAAGAAAATAAATAAAAAATATAYTAGGATCCATTATGATCAAATTACTCAAAACCAATAATAAAGAGGAAATTTTGCCAAAGGAAAAAAAAAGGCATGTTACCTACGTAGGGACAAAGAATGACATCAGATTTCTTGTTGAGAACAATGAAAGCAAGAAAACCTAAAAGCAACTAAATCACCTAACTTAAAATTCTATGCCTAGTAAAAATACTTTTCAGGAGATAAGGGCAACCTAAAGACTTTTATATGATATACAAAATCTGAAAGAACAAGAAATATTAGAGGACATCTAATCAGGCAGAAGGAAATTACATAAGATGGAAATATGGATCTACATGGAAGAATGGAGATCAGGGATAACAACTACATAGGTACATATGCAAGATTTTTTTCTTAGCACTTAAATCTCTTTAAAAGAATATTAGCCATTTAAAAATAATACCAATATAATGTGAGATTTATAACATATATGCAAATAAAATGTGTGACAACAATGTAAAATCTAGGAAGAAAGACGTGCMAGCACAATATTGTAAGGTTCTTACACCATACAAGAAGTGGCATAATAGCCCTTGAATATGCATTAGAGATTATAGTATAAACCCTTGCACAATTACTAAAATAATAAGACCATGTTTGAATGTTAAAAATTGAAAAATACATTAACAAATTACTTGCAAGTTTTTAAGTAATAAAAGGGGGTGATTATTAACTTGCTAAGGGACACAAATCGAGGAAGTAATGGAGCAGGAATTCAAAGGGACAAAGATATTTTTTTTCCTAACCCAGATTGTCTTTCGTGTGTGTGTGTGTGTGTGTGTGTGTGTGTGTGTGTGTGTGTACACATATGTATATCTTCAGAGTTAAGTAGGAAGACCACTTCATCAGTGTAGAGATGGTCAAGTAAATGTAAAGAAATGGAAGGACATTTAGGCCTGAATGAATGTGCACATCTAAGTTCACAGTGATAGATGCTGCCAGTTCCTTTCCAAGCAATGTTGAAGAAAAAGGAAGCTGGAGTGTTATAGGTTGCTGTTCTAATATGGTGGAAGATTCTAATATTTTCTGTCTCATTGGCCTAATCATGTATGCTCTGATAACTTCTATGGTAGGATGATGATTTTTTTTTCTTTTTATTGCTTTATTCCTATGGACTACATCAGTATTAGTTTCATAGCAAGCATTCAATAAATATTTGTTGAATAAATGATCAAAAAAGAGACCAACCAAAATGAACACACAGAGGAATTTTTAAAAAATTAAAAATGCATAGAGAATCACTGAATTGTAAGGAAAATTCAAGTTCCCCCAGTATATACGCATTTGGAGTCTCTGAAAAGCAGGGGTGGGGGGTTTTTCCCCTGTATGAAGCCATTACATTGGAAACATAGCTGAGTCTCCTTGTTCTAACTCCAGATCCAGAAAGCAATCAACCTACATATATTATGACTTATCTTTTCACAAAGCAAGAGAATGGACAGATCATACTGATGGGAGCTTTAGAGACAGGTGGCAGTTACAATTTTTGATGCAAAGTACAACTTGGCAGGCTGGTAGGCCAATCAGTCTTKTGAGCCTTTCAAGTAGTACGAGTCACTGGGGTCTGGCCTCTTTGCTCATGGAGAGGCAAGCCAGTCTACAGGCTCTTCAAGCATGTGTGCTCCACAYATCCCTCCACTATCTGACCTTGTCACGTCACTTTTACTATTTTTTTCTTGTTTATTTACAAAAAAGCAGAGGGCAAAATGATTAAATTCAAGCTAGTTGTCTCTGCAATTAACAATTTACTTCCTTTAAACAATGTTAAAATTAAAGTCTTAAGGGGGATCACATATTCAGATTTTTATTTTTGAAATTAACTTTTATTTTTACTCTTAATCCTCTTAAAATGTCATTATATATTTAAAAATGCATAATGCTTATATAGAAAAGAACATTTTTATTCGTTCTGATTCTCTGTTTTCCTGCAAACTGAATGAATATTGGGGTAATTTTAGACTGTAGGGGGAGAAAGATGAATTATGGATAGAGAGGATGTGTCAAGCCAATATGAACACCTGCCTATCCCAAATATCATGTAAGGCAGGGTCTTCTTTGACCCTCCTAGKATTCCTGCCAAGAAAGTATTATCATCCCCAGATCAGGTAACTTAAGATTCAGAGAGTGATGACTRCATAGCTAGTGAATATCAGAGCTGAAATTCCAACCCAAGTCTTTCTGACTCTGTACTGACTCAAATATACTTTCTTTTTTTTTTTAAGTTGTAGGACACAATACCTTTATTTTATTTATTCATGTGTGCTTAGGACCGAATCCAGTGCCCCACACATGCAAGGCAAGCACGCTACCACTGAGCCACAATCCCAGCCCTCAAAAATACTTCCATATTAGTTACAGTTTGGATTTGAAATGTCCCCCAATGGCTCACGTATTGAACGCATGTTCCCCAATGCAGCAATGTTCAGAAATGGGGCCTTTTGGAGGTGATTGGATCATGAGGGCTTTAATCTTTTCAATGGAATAATTCACTAATAGATTCATAGCTAATAGACTACTGGAAGATGGTAGAAACTGTAGGAGGTGAACATAGGCGAAAGGGGTGAGTTCCTGAGAATGTGCCCTGGAAACTTGTGTCTCATCCCCAGTACCTTCCTCTCTTTCTCAACTTCCTGGCTACCATGAGTTGAACAGCTTTGTTCCTCCATTCCCTTCTRTCATAATGTCCTGCTT